ATTAGTATATAGAAAGACCACAAAACAAATTTTAAAAAAAGAGGTTACAAGGGCCAGGTGCAGTGCCTCATGTCTATAATCGATCACAAGGTCAGGAGTTCAAGACCAGCCTGGCCAATGTGGTGAAACTCTGTCTCTACTAAAAATACAAAATTAGCTGGGTGTGGTGGCACATGCCTGTAATCCCAGATACTTGGAGGGCTGAGGCAGGAGAACTGCTTGAACCTGAGAGGCGGAGGCTGCAGTGAGCCGTGATTGCGCCTCACACTAGCGACTAGGGAGGCTGAAGTGGGAGGATTGCTTGAGCCCATAAGGTCAACACTGCAGTGAGCTGTGATTGCGCCACTGCATTCCAGCCTGAGCAAGAGTGAGACCCTGTCTCAATAAAATAAAATAAAAATAAAAACAACTAGACAACGGTCTTGAAAGGCACTCTCCAAACTAATAATAATCCTTACCACTAAGGTAGACATAGGAAAAAAGAGGTGGTCAACAGAGAATAAAGGCTTCTCTGAAATATTTTTATTTTTCCATCAGGAGAATATATTCATATATGTTATTATTTAAAATTGACTTTTAAAAATAAACAAATATGTAGAACCAAGGGGGTCATACATAATTGGAATAATGCTCAGCCTGGTGATTAGTTCCTATCCGTTAGAATGTGACTGATTTGGAAAACAAAGAAAATTACATTAACTCAAAATAATATAACAATCAGGGCTATTTGAAGGGGCAAGGAGAGACTTCATAATACAAACTGACAGTTGTAGAATTCAATTCTATTGCATAACAAGACACCAAAATATCCTGCCTCCAAAATGTGTTTATGCTGTGGTTGAATTTACCTCTTTTAGGAAGAGCTGAAACTCTCATTCTGATCTGTTTAACTTACAACAATGCTCACATTTAACTCTTGCCCAGGTAGTTTTTGTTTGTTTGTTTTTAGACAGAGTCTTGCTCTGTCACCCAGGCTGGAGTGCAGTGGCGCAATCTCCGCCTGCCAGGCTCAAACGACTCTCCTGGCTCAGCCTCTTGAGTAGCTGGGATTACAGGCACGTGCCACCAAGCCTGGCTAATTTTTGTTTTTAGCAGAGACAGGGTTTCACCACGTTGGTCAGGCTGGTCTCCAACTCCTGACCTTGTGATCTGCCCACCTCAGCCTCCAAAAGTGCTAGGATTACAGGCATGAGCCACTGTGCCTTGCCTTGTTTTTTTTTTTGAGGCGGCAGGGTCTTGCTCTCGCCTGGGCTGGAGGGCAGTGGTGTAATCACAGATCACTGTAGCCTCAAACTCTTGCCTGGGTAGTCTTAATACCTTTAGCCAATAGCCAATAGTCCCCCCTTCCTCCTTTTTACCTCCATTGTGGAATTTATAGTTTTCTTTTCTATGGGTACCAATGCTTCAGAGCTGCCTTGCTTTTTTAGATGCATTGTCCCCCACAACTAGCTGTAATTTTGCAAAAGGCAGGGAGGTTCTCCCCCTTTATGACCTGTGTATCCGGTACAATGGTAGTTACACAATAATGTTAATAAGGCAGAGCTTCATACAATGATGTATCTACTGCTGATATATTGATAGTATTGTCCTAAGCTTTCTAACAGAATAAAGTTACTAAACAGCACATGCTTTTGACCAAGACTGATTTATGTTTTACCTTGATGTTGGCATTTAATAAACTTAGAACTTTTACACAAACATAATTAAAATGGCTACTTCTAGAAAACATCTGTTTAGGCCAGGCACAGTGGCTCACAGCTGTACTCCCAGCACTTTGGGAGACCCAGGTGGGTGGATAATGAGGCCAGGAGTTCTACACCAGCCTGACTAACATGATGAAACCCCGTCTCTACTAGAAATATACTAAATTAGATGGGTGTGGTGGTGCGAGCTTGTAATCTCAGCTACTTGGGAGCCTGAGGCAGGAGAATCACTTGAACCTGGGAGGCACAGGTTGCAGTGAGCTATCGCGACCCTCCACTCCAGCCTGGGCAACACAGTGAGACAAGAAAAAGGCAAAAAGGCAAAAGGCAAGGCAAGGAGACATCTATTTAAATTTATTGGAATATTTTGGATTTTTTTTCTTTTTTGAGACGGAGCTTCACTCTTTCGCCCAGGCTGGAATGCAGTGGTGCGATCATGGCCATAAATTAATCCCAGCGCTTTGTGGGGCTGAGGAGGGCAGATCATGAGGTCAGGAGTTCGAGACTAGCCTGACCAACATGGTGAAACCTCGTTTCTACTAAAAATACAAAAAACAAAACAAAACAAAAACTAGCTGGGTGTGGTGGTACACACCAGTAGTCCCAGTTACTTAGGAGGTGAGGTAAGAGAATCACTTGAACCCAGAAAGTGGAGGTTGCAGTGGGCTGAGATCATGCCATTGCACTCCAGCCTGGGCGACAGAGGGAGACTCCATCTCAAAAAA